GAGAGTTCAAAAAGTTTATTGATAAATTTCAGATGTTATGTTACAGACAATATTTAATAAGCTACCACTTGTCAAATTTTGTTGAAATATCAAAGAATTATCCACATTATCTGAGAAGGGTATTAAAATATCTTTCTTTTTCCAAATACATATCTTTGTGGGTCCAGATATTTTTCATAAACTTCATCCCAAGTTAAGAGGGCAACAGATTGAATATAAAAGCAGGATGAGAATCCGTCTGTTTTCAATTAAGCTAGACATTAAAGAGATTTATAAAAATGTAAGACAAAAGTAATTTTTCTCACTAGTTCTTAGGGAAGAGGAAGCAGTTATAATGAGGTTTATCATTTAAAGAATATTTATTGTCATTTATTTTATGTTGAATTTACTCCTGGGCCATAAGTTTTTGTTCCTTCCGTTTCTTCTGGGCTATCTTTTACTTCTGTGCAGCCTCCTCTTCTGGTTTAGGAACAACTTGCTCTTCTTCAGTAAGGATCATCTCCTTACTGTGGCAGGGAGAGCTGGGTTAATCCACTTACTAGCTAAGTTCTCTGCCAGGTCTTGGGAGCTTTCTTCATCTGGATGTTCTCAATGACTGGGAAATCTACATCCAAACTCTTAAGTTCAGCATTGCTTTCTGCATTTTTAAACATGTGCAGCAGAAATTCAGTGTTTTGGGGCTACCAACCCTGTGTCCAGCTCCAGTGTTTGGCCTGGGCATGCCTATCAGCTCCACCATCGTGACAGTGGAATGGCACACTTTGCTTTTGTAAAGTGACATCCATCAGTTATGTGGTGGCTTTTTGGATATATGCATACCCTTGATGACCTGGGTGGTTACATAATTGTTCTTAAAAGGAACATGGATGCTTTGAACCTCTCAATTTGCATGATTTTGTGGGGTTTTCTGGGTCAAGTAAATAGCAAACTATTTTCAGAGGTCACCTCAGGCCACTTATGGAAGAGGTGTTTGTCGTCTTAAGATGAATTACTTTGTGTTTTTCTCTTTTAATTTCTAATGTGACAAGTATCTATAAATACCACAGTAAACATATTTGGGTGAATCCTCAATTTTTAAGAGTAAAGGGGTCCTGAAATAAAAAATGTAAAAACTTGGCGGTATAAGTAAGCCATCCAAGTTAACTTAGTCCAGTGGTTCTCAAATTGTGCCACACTTCAGTATTACCTGGGAGCTTTAAAAACCTCTGCTGCCCAGTTTATTTTCCATACCATTAAATCAGAGTAAAGATGAGAAACTTCAAGCCTGGCTTTGGGAACTCCTAGTTTCAGCTCATACTTGAAACTTTGTATTCTTTATTCCTGCTTTGCATGGGTGCAGGCGGCACTTTATTCACTTGATATTTAGTTACCTTATTTAGAAAATGTCACATTGTTTTTGTTCACTTTTGCAAAAGTGAATTCAGTAATCCAGTGAGAATTAGTTTGCCCAACTTTTTTTGTTTTAAATCATTGATAACAATGTATAATTCAATTTACAAACAGTGGAAAAATCCTTTTTTTTTTTTGGTATGCTAATGACCAGGGTGGGGGGGCCACACTCAATAATTTTATCTCCTTTGAAAAGAGTTTTTTTTTTTTTCTTAATGTCAGAACTGTACTTTTGAAATACTGAATTGTTACTTTCTAATTAAATAGATAGCCAGATATGTGGTCATGGACATTATATCTTAAAGTCAGCTTTTGAAATAGGAAAACTAAGTGTAAAAAGCCTAGTACAGTGTCAAGTAACATATATTAATTCCTGATCCAGTGCAGTATCTACTAAAAAGTTTGTTTAACTTTATAGCTAAGTATGCAATGGAAGCTACTTACGCCAAATTAGGAAAAGTTATGCAGCTAAGTCTGCATAACTTTTAAGGCTGAAAGCTAAAAAAGTTGGAAAACTTCTACATTGAGAGTTAATTAAAATTGATTCTTAATGTCAAGTTTAGTCATCAACAAATTTATGGTAGTAGTCTTTAAATGAATGCCTTTAAGTTGACTACTCCATATGTGTGTTCTCAGTATGTGTTGTTTGATCTTACCAACTAGTGAATTGCTCATGTTAACTTTTTAAAATTGATTCTTTATTGAGATAATTTTATATTAAATGCATTTGCAGGAAATAATGTAGAGGGACCCTGTATATCTTACCTAGTTTCTCCCAATGGTAACAACTTGCAAAACAGTATTACAAATTGAGTAATGACATTGATATAGCCTACAGATATTATTCAAAATTTCCTGAGTTTTTCTTGTGTGTGGTTCTCTGTGATTTTATTATATGTGTATGTTTGAGTGTCTACCACCGTAGTCAAGATACTTAACAGTTCATCTCTGTACAAGTTCGTCTTTGATAACCACACCTCCACCCTCATCCCTAACTCCTGACAGTCACCAGTCTCCATCTCTGTTATTTTGTTATTTCAACAGTGTCAGATAAATGGAAGCATATGGGCCTGGGCTGGTGTGGCTCAGTTGGTTGGGCATTGTCCTGCAAACCAGAAGGTCACAGGTTCAGTTCCCACTCAGGGCACATGCCTGCGTTGCAGATTTGGTCCTGAGTCAGGGTGCGTGTAAGAGGCAACCCATCTGTGTTTCTCTCCCTCTCTCCCTCCCTTCCCCTTTCTCTAGAATCAATAAAAGAAAAAAATTTAAGTGGAAGCATATGGTATGTAACCTTCTTGATAGGTTTGTATATCTTACCACAGTCCAGCAAAATCTCATGTGAACTTTTAAAATCCACTTATTTAAACAGCTGCTTTCTATTTTATTCTTTAAAGGATTAAATGGTATCAATATAATTTTTCCTGATTTGTTCAGGATTCACATTTATTAAAGACTGGACAATAAAAAAGGGAACAGGTTGATCATTTTGTTGTTGGCCTTGTATACCACTCTTGTAGATCTCCTCAAAGTTCAAATTAGGTGTCAAGTGTCTTTTAGGGTAGATTATGCATGCCAGGAGGACCTAGTGGTCTCAAGATATATAATCTAAGTGGAAGGTGCATGGATAGGTAACCCTGGTTTTCGCTTGATGGTTTGTTAACATTAAGCTATTGTTTTTACTTTTGACAGATTGACAGGAAGAAAATACTTTTTTACATTATGACCCATTGTACATACATGTACAACTGTAACAGGTTTCACAAAAGCATTTCTTCCCTTTAAAATGTGTAATTTTGTCCTGTGTATTTTACTTTTTTATTACTAAAGTAATGCTGGTTGTCAGCCACATTGATTTCAGGAACCATCCACAGGGTATGACTTCTTGTTTAAAGTATAACTACTTTAGGCTCATTTATGACCTTCCAGGTCATAGGATTTTTCTGATGCAGAGCTTTCAGTTCTAGACCTCCTGAAGCATAGTTTAAAGATCTTTTTATTCAATTATGTGAAGCATTTGGTGCTTTATACTGAATTCATTTTGGATTGAATTTGTGGAATTGAGTCAAGTTTTATTTTAGCAAGGTCATTTTCCTGTAAAAATGTGTCTTTCATCTTGTTTTATTTGGAAAACAGCTGTGATGGTTAATAGAGTCAGAAGTGTTTGGTTGGGGAAGATTATTTCGGATTATTTGGTTAAGATTATGCTGGCTGGCCATGGTATGCTGAGTGGATGAGAGAGTGTCACTTACTTTGTTTCTTTTCTCACAGTGTCTTTTCCTCTCCGGTTTTCCATCCTGCTCCGAATTTAAACTACTCAAGGCTGAGTTATGCTGTAACCCTCAGCTATGTTGTATCTCTATTGCCTATAATAGTTTCTGGCAGACAAGCAGTGTAGATTCTTTCTGTAGTAGTAGATTCTCATACTCCTTTCTTTTTTATCTCTTCTGATAAACTCGTCAGTCTTTTGAGAATGTCCATCTGTCTGCATCTGTTGGTCTTTAGTGCCTGTCAAGTACTTTAGTGCTACTGATGAATTGAATTTCTAGTGCCACAGGGATTTTTCACATATTTCAGCAGTTCTTCGTGTGTGTGTACTCATAGCTAGTAACTGCTTTAGTGATTTTGGTGGTGTCTGCTCATTAATTCTATATTAGTAAGTTTTTCCATATAATTTCCAATTTTAGTCTTACCTCTTTCATGAATCTTTCCTGTTCATTTTAGTGTTCATTGTTGCTCCAGTTTTTGAGGTTTTGTTAGTACTTATACACAGTTTTTTTTTACTTTAATTAGAGGTTTAGGTTCAATAAAATGAATTATTATTTAATAGAACAATTCTACAATGTGAAATTTATAATGACTTTTTAAAGAAAAGCACTTATGGTTTTTTCTATCCACTTTCTGTGTTATAGTTTTGATAATACCACATGACTAAGATTATAATAAAAATTGTTTTATATAGTTGAGACAAGAAGCAGAATTATAATAATAGTATGGATTTGTGCACACAAACACTGGAGAACTAAGTCTGGGCATTCCATTTTGTTAAACAGATTACTGTAGTTACTACATTGGCTAGAGGGGTAATAATATATTTCATGCAAAATAATACATTTAAGAAAAAGAATCTTGGGAGTTATGTACATTAACTTCATTGTCCAGGTTGAGAAAACATCCAAAGTAGTTTAGTGGATTGCCTAATTAGGGGGAGAAGTTGAAATGATTTGGTTTATTATCAAACATCTAATGAAAATTTCATTTTAGAAATGTGAACAGTTCTCAGTTGATGCTGCCTCTCCAGCCCCTCTCCTATTTGCCAACCCCACATATGCACAAAACAAAACCCATTCAACCCAAGCTCTTATAAATTGTGGTTTTTCCTTCCATCAGGCTGAATTTTACAGCAAATGCTTATTAGCACTTACTCTATGAATTGGTCTTTTTCAAACACGTAACTGGTCTCTGCCATTAAATCTAATAGTTCATTTTGTAAACAGGATTGACTAAAAGCTACAAATGAAGTATATTATAAAAAGGAAGAGAACTGTAAAAATGTTCATTTGAAATGTTCATTGTTGATATTTGTAGTGAAAGTACTTTTTTGTCTCCCCCAGTGACCTAGAACATCACCATGGCTACAGAAATTGGTTCTCCTCCTCGTTTTTTTCATATGCCAAGGTTCCAACACCAGGCACCTCGACAACTGTTTTATAAGCGACCTGATTTTGCACAGCAGCAAGCCATGCAACAACTTACCTTTGATGGAAAACGAATGAGAAAAGCAGTAAACCGAAAAACTATAGACTATAATCCGTCTGTAATTAAGTATTTGGAGGTAAGTACAGGTCATGTGCTTCAGATGTCAGACTTTTATTTTATTTTTTAAAAAGAAAATTTTAAAAATGAAGGGTAATAAGTATACCTATATTTTATGAGTTAGTGAGATTTTAAGTGAAGCCAGTCACTAGTATTTTTTAAAAAATATATCTTCATGAATTATCTTAACAAAAATTATTAAAATTGGCTCCCAACATAGGAATTAGTATGTTGCATGCACGTAGGAGAAAAAGATTCATTCAGAGGTAAAGACAGATTTAGATTTTTCTATATATTTCAGTTGGGAAACTAGACTAGGAGAGCTTGAGAGGAATTAAGAAAACCAAGGGCAAGATGTGAAGAATTGTTTTTGTGCTGAGGATTTTGAAGGAATTGGGAGTGTCTCTTTATTCCTTATTTTTTATCCCTATAATTAAGGGATATATGGTCAATGAGAATGTGTTAGAGTTAGGAGCAACTCCAATGATTGGTGGAAGTTATTGTGAGTAAGGAAGAGGAGGGAAATTCTAAACAGTGTCAGTAGGATAAGATACCAACTATTATGTTAGTTTCAGTTTCATAATGAGAAAAGTTTAATCATGTTTTTCCCCCATTTAATAATAGCTTACATTTTGTTTAGTATCATATTGAGTGTAATTAGATCATATATCAGTTGAATAATTATTTGATCTATTTTTAACAGAATAGAATATGGCAAAGAGACCAGAGAGATATGCGGGCAATTCAGCCTGATGCAGGTTATTATAATGATGTAAGTATGAAATGTTATACTGGCTTAATACAACTTTTTTCATTGGGCATTTGAACATAAAAACATGTGATCTCAAATTCAAACATGGACTTTCTCTTTACATTTTTGTAATAAAAACAAAACATTCCTAAAGGGATACTGAACATATCTGTGTAAACCATGAGGTTTTTTTTTACCTCAATTTAAATTTTCCTTTTAATCTAATGATAGATGAAAGCAGTGTTCAACATAAGACTGCACTGCCTCAAAGTCTGTGTAATAGAAAAGTTAATTTTAAATTTGGCTTATTATTGACTTTGAGAAATAATTAGGGAAATCTTATACTTGATTTTGTTGTTTGTTTAGTAATAATTGGCATTTAGCTTTCCTGTATTTTTTTCTTCATTTAATTAATATAGGCTACTTATAATCTATTATTCCAGATTTTTAAAAATACTATTTTTTTTAGAGAGAGGGGAAGGGAGGAAGAGGAGGGAGAGAAACATTGATTGGCAGCCTCTCACATGCCTCCAACAGGGGACCTGGCCCACAATCCAGGCATGTGTCCCAACTGGGAATTGAGCCAGTGACCTTTTATTTCTCAGGTTGGCACTCAATCTACTGAGCCATACTGGCCAGGGCTATTGTTACAGTTTTTTAAAAGTCCTGTATATTCATGAATTTGTATTTAAATGTTAAAATAATCACTTCGCATGCCCCCGGTTTATGCCCTGTGCATAATCAGGAGCTTTTACAACTCAATTTTCTTTTCTTTTTTTAATAGCTGGTCCCACCTATAGGGATGTTGAATAATCCTATGAATGCAGTAACAACAAAATTTGTTCGAACATCAACAAATAAAGTAAAGTGTCCAGTATTTGTTGTTAGGGTAAGTATTCTGTTGGGTATGTTTGGAAAAATTAATCCTGAGTTAGTCTGCAGATATATTTAACAGGACAAAGGAATTGAAGCACTATTTTAAATGTACATCTGGGTTAAAAATTAGTGTATTGTTAATAATTTTATTTGTAATATCCAGTTTATCTCCTTTATCCACATTTAGTAAGGTATTACATTTATTTTTTTTTTTTAAGATTTTATTTGTTTTTAGAGAGAGGAGAAGGGAGGGAGAAAGAGAGAAACATCAATATTTGGTTGTCTATTATGTGCCCCCTACTGGGGACCTGGTCTCCAAGACAGGCACGTGCCCTGACTGGGAATTGAAGTAGCAACCCTTTGGTTCGCAGGCCAGCACTCAATCCACTGAGCCACACCAGCCAGGGCAGGTATTACTTTTAGATTATTTTCTTCTTATTGCAATTCCCATAGAATTTTCTTTGAGCTGGCCATAAATATATATTGCAGCAGGTCTCAGATTTGCTCTTGAATGGGATTGCTTTTGTTGTTTAGAAAGCAGCATCTCAAGGCGAATGAAAACTCTTGGGTGTTACTAGGAGGGAAAATACCTGAGAGAAGCTGAAGACAAATGGTAGACCATAATTGTCAGCTCCATGAAGGTACATAGTAGGTACTCAATACATTTTCACTGGAATTTTAAAAATATAATTAAAAAATAAATAGTACATTTATGTGGTTCAAAATAGTGAAAATTGAAGAGGTTTTTGATAAAAATATTTTCCCATATCTGTCTGCCAGACTAGTTAATAGTCCAGGTTGAGCAAATAAAAGACTGTCATTGCAAATATGTGGCAAATAAGCAAAATAAGTAAGTCCTCTGATATTAGGAAGGTGTGATAGACAGCATGGAGAACTGAGAGGAGCTGGAAGAGATGCTGATTTGAGCTCCATAAAAATGTTGCAGTCAGTCTAAGGCCTCCTATTTGCTTTCGAAGCCTATCTCAGTAGAAATATCAGTAAGGGAACACTTACTTAAATGGTTTTTGTATTAGTAGAGCCAACCAACATGTAGGATAACTTTGCTTGCCAGGGAATTTGGGGAAAGGAGTATGATGTGCAACTAATTTTAATATCATCTTAGCATAACACAAAACTTCTTTGAAATGAATAAAATCTGAGCTTTCACTATCTTGTATTTTGCTTGATGGGTGAATTTCTCATTTGGGGCTCAATCTATAAGAAGTAAGGAGACATTTGCCCGTAGTGGCATAGTCCATATTACAAGGTTTTAAGACATAGAAATGTGTCTATAGTGTAGTTGCCTGTTGTAGTTACTGGGTTGCAATCCATATCGGATAACAGAAACTAGGAAAGTAGGACGATTTTATTCATAATAATCCAAATCATAATCTACAGGCAAGAAATAAAAAGCCAGATTGTCATATATATCTTCATAATTTACCGAATAGTCTTCATTTTATGTATCTCATCCTGCTGTTCCTATGAATACACTTGTGCTTTTCAACTCTGTATCAGTTTTAATTGATTTATTTTAAAGATTTTATTTATTTTGTTAGCTACATTTAAGTGAAAGTCAGTATCATCTACTTAATGTTGATTATTGGATATTTTGTAAATACATTCTAAGTGTTTTAAAAATTAAGGTTGAGGATCTGTGGCCTTGTATAACCTGTCTTTTTTTCTTCCCCAGTGGACTCCAGAAGGAAGACGATTGGTCACTGGAGCTTCTAGTGGAGAGTTCACCTTGTGGAATGGACTCACTTTCAATTTTGAAACAATATTACAGGTAACAGTAATCATCAGATGGTAGCATTGTTCTGCAATACTATGAAGAACTTGAGATATTGTAACTTTATTGGCATTTTAAATTTACAGTTGGGCAGCTTATTGTGGATTAATATATGCTCCTGTAAAGCCTCCTGTCATATATTCTTGTATATAATGTTTACAAATACTTTATTTTCACAGGCTCACGATAGCCCAGTGAGGGCCATGACTTGGTCACATAATGACATGTGGATGTTGACAGCAGACCATGGAGGATACGTGAAATATTGGCAGTCGAACATGAACAACGTCAAGATGTTCCAGGCACATAAGGAGGCGATTAGAGAGGCCAGGTTTATACACAATATACCATTTCCTGTAGTCCCTACTGTCATGGTTAAATCATTCTCTAAGTGTATTCTGGGTGCAGAGGTGCATGGGCTCTGTGAGATTCTGGGAAGCTTTCTGCACCCTATAAACACAATATTTTCCTTTGTTTTCACACATTCACCATTTCGCTGGCGCCTTTCTGAAGTAGTGTTGTCCTGGTATCTGCCTTTACGATATGTTAGAGTTGTATTGTCTGCCGCATTTTGCACTGATTTTCTCTTTTCCTTTATGGTTAATAATGTGTATACGTTACTCCTTTTTATTACCTACTGTGTAAGACAAGAATATTTCATTCCAAATAAAGAATTCAGTCTTTAATTATACAGCTGAATAAAATTGAAAGCCTACAGAAAACACTTTCAGAGTTCACACAAAATACAAGGAAAAAAAGGCTTAAGTGAAGACCTGGTTGGCTTGGTTATGCCATGACTTCAAAGAAAAGTGCACTAGGTCTAAAAACTCCAAGTAACTCTGGATATGGCAAACGTTAATGGATTAATAAATGGGTTCTTCAAGCTTTGAAACTGTAAGCAGATCATTTTCAAGAAGACTCTAGGACTTCCAATTCACTCTTGATACCATCAGTTATGCAAATGTGTAATAAGTGCAGTTTAAAATGTTTTCAGCAAGTTGTATATATATGTACATATCAGTGAGATATGTACAGTAAAACTGGAAAAAGAGTTTCAAAAACCAGCCTGAAGAGTTACTGCAGCCTCAGAATAAAGCTAAACAGCATTCTCTATGGCTGTGCCGCCCATGTTGAGTAAGAGGTTGACATCTTTATAGAAACATTTCACTGCAGTCACCATTTCTACTTTCAGATCTGAACAAAAATTGGTGGATAAAAATGCTTCTGCAAAGACTTGCTGTAGTGTCCTGCCCATACATTGAGTTTCCACAGTTGGTTATTTCTTAGTCATAGGATTCAAAAGTTCAAAAGAGTTCTTAGAGTTCAATGAGAAACTTGATGCTCTGTCACTACAGGGAGGAAAAAATGGTTCTCTTCTTTGTAGCAGGTCTTAAGCTTTAAATACAAGTCTGAATGTCCCTATGTTAATGTTTTCATCAAAAGGTGCAACATTTATAAGATGACTTGCCAGGAAGAAGATGTGAAGGATTCCATAGACCTTTGAAATAAATGAGAAACATCATATGTGGGAACGTTTAGCAACCAGTTGTTAAATAGACTGCCCAGATTTTTTCAGTTTATTGTTTCACGAAGTGTCTGAAGTAGAAGCTAATTTTAACTTTCCGAGCAGTATTCTTAGTAATTTAAAAGACTGTTTACAGGAATATTGCAAAAACAATTCATTTAGTTTGTACACTTAAATTAGCTCCATGTTTTCTGTTGGTACAACAGGAAATTATTTACTGTGGGGAGCATGAATAGTAGTAGTAATACACTTGTTAAAGTACTCTGAATATCAATGATTGAAAACTAAGAAGCAACTACTTCATCAAAATTCTTTTGATGAGATGTGATGGTTAGCTGACGACATTCTCTTTAAAGTGTCTTCACGTGTGGATACCTCCCTCTTCTAAGTATAACGCAGCACAGTGTTTTTATTTTTCCCTTTTTGAGAAGCACAGATAATCTGTTAAATGCTGACTTCTTTCCCCTGCTGTGTGTCTTCATGTAACAGTTTCTCACCCACGGATAATAAATTTGCTACATGCTCTGATGACGGCACTGTTAGAATCTGGGACTTTCTTCGTTGCCATGAGGAAAGAATTCTCCGAGGTATGTGTACTAATAGTACTCATTGGACTATTTAAATAGGAAGGCATTTGTGGTTAAATCACAATACCACAATATCAGCTTAGATCTCCATTCAATTTTCTTACATATACAGTGTCTTAGGCTCTTTAAAGATCTCTCTCTGGTTCCAATCAGTTTTTAGATTTCTTTGAATTCTTTGAGGTACAGGTGTTTCCCTTCTTCAGTCTCTTTCCCCCAGGTATTCACTTATCTTTATGCATCTCTTAGAGCTGCATTCCTTTTCCTCTCTGGTATCCAGATATCTTTTTCCAACATACTGACACTATAATTTTATTTAGATAGCTCACATTCTCCCCACAGTCTTTCTACAACATGAATTAACTGAGGTATCAATAGCTGTCCTCCTAACTATTGCTATTTCTGAAAGCTGGCGGTGTTCTGTTGTATCACATTATATCACATGGCCCACGTGTTACTAAATTTTGGAGGGATCCCTTCTTTACTTTTATTGATTCCATGTTTACTTTTATTGATTCTTTGTTAACTAACATCTGATAATCCATCTTACAAAAGAGGTCTGTATTTCTACTTGGATTAGCTTAGTTTTAGACTTTATAATGTGGCACTTTTGAAATACTGACAGTACATCACCAATTATGTGAATTCAGTGGTGTTAGAAATAGGGAATTCACTTCATATTTAAATGTACAATATAAACATTTAAACAAATGTTTATACTTCCAATGAAATCTCATTAGCTTATTATTAATTAGGAAGGTAGTTTTCTCAAGTGCTTCATTTGAACCTGTACTTATTTAACCAGGAGTGCACTCTACTTCATACTTTTGATTTCAGTATGCCATAAAAGTAACAGTTTCTATGGCTGTATGGGTACAACAGATACTGGGTGTCAGGAAATTATTACTCAGATATTTCCCTTTCTGTTCAAAAGTCATGGTAGAGTTTTTGTCTTGGTTGAACTGTAAGTTTCTTACAACTTTTCAGAACCTTATTACCAGCATATAGTGACTATACTTTCTACACAAGAAAATAAATGCTCTTGGTATTTAATCCATATTTCAACCCAGTACTTTTTAAAAATCATTTGCTTAAACATTGCTGGCTTTGTACATCTTATGTGGGTTCATCCATAGTTTTGTATGGTTATAACTGATGTAAGGATATATAGTACCTATGAAGGAGTACACTCACTAAGAAGGTCATAATATTCTACAACTTGAACTAGATGTAGTCTCTGAAGTCCTCAAGTATGAGTTGTTTTATAGGTAAGAACCATGACCTAGAAGGCTTAAGTGACATGGACAGTGTAAAATAAGTTTAAAGCCAGGACCAGAATCTTACCACTTGACTCTTAGCCCAATGCTACACTGGTGTTGCTTTTTTCTTCACTATTAGTAGAAGTCTCAGCTGTTAAACAGAAATAAGATAAACAATTTTTTCTAATCTTTGAAAAGTCTAAGAAATGTAGAAGAAAAACAGTTTTATTTATTAAAAGCAATTCTAAACTGTCAAACAATTTTACAGTAGACTAGGACTATAATAACTGAAGTCAGATATAAAACTATTATGCATCTTGGATTTAAAAAGAACAGCTCTGGTTGTAGTGGCTCAGTGGATTAAGTCTTGGCCTTCAAGCTGAAAGGTTGCTGGTTCAATTCCCAGTCAGGGCACATGCTTGATTGCAGGCCAGGTCCCCAGTTGAAAGCATGCCAGAGGCAACTGATCACATATCTCTTGTAAACTGATGTTTCTCTTCTTCCTTTTCTCCCTCCCTTTTCTTCTTTCTAAAGTAAATAAATAAAATCTTTAAAAAATTTTAAAAAAGAAGAAAACCTATGATAACATTTTTCAATCTCAAGTTCTAATGAAGTGTTATTCAATTTTGGTAATGAAATTGTTTATACATAGTGTTTGAGAATTTTTCCTCTAAAATTTAGAGTGTATGTGATATATTAAGTAGCAGTTAACATATTTTCAGATTTGAATCCAGGTGGATTTGGATATAGTTAAGTGGATGCTGACTTATTGCCTGTTCTATGTACGGCTTAAAAAAATACACCAATGTCTGTATTTGTGGGTTGAATTTTATTTTTTCTGTAAAGATTTTATTTATTTATTTTTAGAGGGGAAAGGGAGGGAGATAGAGAGTGAAACATCAGTGTGTGGTTGCTGGGGGTCATGGCCTGCAAACCAGGCATGTACCCTGACTGGGAATCGAACCTACGACACTTTGGTTTGCAGCCCATGCTCAATTCATGAGTTACGCCAGCCAGGGCAGATTTTATTTATTTTTAGAGAGAGGGAAAGGGAGGGAGAAAGAAAAGGAGAGAAACATTAATGTAAGAGAGAAACATCAATGCAAGAGAGAAACATCTGTGGATTGTCTCTTGTACATACCCCTACCAGGGACCAAACCCAGTGGGAATTGCCCTGACTGCGAATCAAACCAGTGACCTTTTGCTTTGTGTGAGGACACCCAACCAACTGAGCTATACATGTCAGGGTGAATTTCGTTTTTTATGTGGGGGCTCTTTTTATTTTAAGTTTTTGCTGTGGAAATTTCAAACATGCTCAAAAGTATCATGCACCTGTTTGTACTTATAGGATTTATGTTATAGCTTACTTATATTTTTCCTTTTTTAAAAGAATATTTTACTTTATAATTAATGATTTTTTTTCTTAGTATCTCAGTGAGTATATGGGATAAATATTGACTGTTTTAAACCAAGTTAATTATACCACTCAAGTAGTTCTAGTAACAGGTCTGGTGTAGTGGGTAAGCTATTCGATTCCAGTTACCCATTTTCTGTCATTCCTCATTTTTCTAAATTTTCTGAATTTGAGATAATTATAAAGTAATGAAACCAATGCTCTTATAATTGTCCTCTTTTACTTGGTGGGTTGGGGATCAGGGACAGGACCTTCCAACTTCTAAAAGTTGCCCTATGTAAAGACGACGTGCTTATGTATCCCATATACACTGTACAACATTGGGCAGGTAAGCATATGCCTACAGCATGTTAGTGTTGTACATCAGACCATCATTTGGGATTAAGTATTTAAAAAATCTAAGAACATTTTAATTGAAGGGGAGGTTTATGATCATTCAGTCCAACTCTTTATTAAATACTTTCCTTTTCTGCATCATCCTTAAATAGCAATCTTGTATTCAAACATTTTTAGTAATAATTACCTAGCTCTGATTTTCAGAGAGTTTTGTTATATCAGAAACCTGCATCCTTACAACTTATCCTGCCTCTGGAACATGAAAAATTAAGTCTGTGCTCTGCTCCACATGGTACTCCTTGGAATATTTGAAGACAGTTGTCATGTCTTCTTAATGTAGTCTTTAGCCTTAAGTGTGCAGAATCCCTGTGTATGCAGAAGCCATGATACTGTGCTACTCAGTGCAGTCCTTTCTGAGATTGTTCTTAGGATTCTTGGAAAAGGAAGAAATTTCATAAGAGAGTAATCAGTATTTTTAAGGTTATAATGAGCATAAGTCTGTTGTCAGGAGACTTGCTATTCAAAAGGTCATGATTGGTCCATATGCTGGAAAAACATGGGCACTTACAAAATTGAATACAGTGTAACATTTAGAAATACCATGAATATGTCCACTCATGCAAGTCAGCATCATTTATACACATTTATCCTTCTTTTCTAGTATGAATTATAGCACTCAGTTCATAGATTGGGATTAAAATAACATTTAAGCAGCAGGAGTATATAAGCTTCTACATTACTGATGTTTATACATTTGACTCCATGTGAAATTTAACCCATTAACATTGATTAATTTAGTTAGCATATACTATATACACTACCGTAGGTAGATTTTTGTATTTTTAAAACAGGTTATAAGCCCTGTCATGCTTCTTAAAGCTCAATAGGGAAAGTAACATTTTCACAAGTTCAAGATGTTGGGTAGTTAGTATGGGAGAAGAAACATGATAGTGTTAGAAGTATAGTTTATTAGTGTAGAGTTAGAAGCAGGTCACTTATGACTAGCTAAAAAGTAAATTTTAGATTGAAAGGGTAAATTTTAGGAGAAGGGTTGAAAATACGGAATTAGTAAGAAGAAATCAGTTTTAGTGAGAAGCATAATATTCTTTAAATGAATTCAGTCTGCAAGTTCCTCATGCTTGAATTTTGTTTTATCTTCCTGATTTTAATAATAGCTTACACATTACAATTACTATGTATCAGCCATGTTCTAAGTGTTTCATTTAGTCTTCCTAATAACCCTATGAGACAAATATTTTCATCCACAGTTTACAAATGAGTAACCAAGGTAGGAAAAGTTAAATAAACCTACCCAAGGTCATATTTGAACCTAGGTTGTTTGGTTCTGGAGTTCATACTTATGTTTAACTGCCTCTTTTATGTTTTAAAAGTAACATCAGCAATAATGTTTTCCTGAGCTGTGATGACAGAATTGTAGAGGTGTTTTTGTTTTGTTTTGTTTTTAAAGAGGGAGGGGTGTGGGTAGAGGGAACTCATTTAGGTACTCAAGTTCATTTAACCATTCTTTTTAAAAAAACTATATAGGTTATAGATTTTCAGTGTATATTTAACCAAAAAATTTAAACAAAATGAATAGTTCAAACTGCAAATGGGTTATCAGATATATACTAGGTTATATAAATAGAACATGGACATAAGGAATTATACTGAGACTTATTCAGGAGATGATACCTGTTTTCACTTTTTAAATACAGCACTCATGGAGAGGAAATGAACCCCTGAGTACACACAGCTTAAGAAAAAGAATATTATTAATACTTTTGAAAAGTCCCTGTGTATTCCTTCCTGTTTGTATTTGACTGATTTTAAATAAATGAGATCACCCCCTCTGCAAAGATTTTGTGGTTTAGTAGTATGTTTTTGAACTGTATGAAGAAGACGTGTATAGAGTCTGAGTGTTTCAGAAGTCTCTAATACTTTTTATTGGAAATAATTTCACTTGTTAAAGTAAAATTGACAAACCACATAGTTTA